TCTCTCCCCTTCCTCCTCCACCAGCTTCTCCTTCCTCTACCACCTCTCCCTTTCCTTCGCCCCTCCGTCTTCGCACCACTCCCTTCTCCCACCTCCTTCTCCCCGAATTCTCTCTTCTCACCCCTCTCTCCTCCCACGCAGCTCCCTTCTCCCCCCTAGCCTTCCATCTCCCCTTCCTACCTCCTCCACACAAGCTTCTCCCCTCCTCTCTCCCCACGCTTCTCCCCCCTCCCCCACTCACCTTCCTCGCCTTCTCCCGCCTCCTCCTTCTTTCCGGCAGCTTCTGCCCCTCCTCCTCTCGCCACCGAACCTTCTCCTACTCCCCCGCATTCCTCCTCCTTCTCCACACCTTCCGCCTTCTCCCCTCCGTCCTTCTCCAACCAATCCTCCGCTTCTCCCCCTCCTTTGAGATCGATCGCTCCACCAAGCTTCGACCTTTCTCATACCCTTCCCTTCTCCCTTCCTCTTCCGCAATCAAGCATTCTCTTTTGCTCTCACTACCTTCAGCTTCACTTTCTCCGCTCTCTCAATCCTTCAAACTTCTCAATGTCCCTTCCTCCCCATTCTCCACAATCGGTATCTCACCGCCTCGTCTACCTTCTCGATCACCAAGCGTTCTCTCCTTCTCGACCCCTCCTCCTTCTCATACATCACATCTCTCGTTCTCCTCCACTTCCTCCCTCTGCTTAACTCAACCCTTAGATCGGCCCTTCTAAAGGCCCCTCCTACCCTTTCTGCACAGTACCTTTAGACTTACTCTCCATCCGCTCATCCTCGGCTTCTGCCAACCAGCTTCTCCCTTTTCCCCTCCGTCATTTTCCAACAGCTTTTCTCCCCCTCTCTCCTTCTCCACCCCATACCTATTTCTTGCAATTAACCTTTGCATTACCCTGCCTTCTTCTCAACACAACTACAATGCTATCTCTGCACCCTCCTCCTCTCCAAGCTACCACCTTAACCTCATCCCCTTCTCTCTCCTCTTCTTCACTCATCTCCTACACCACCTTCTCCTAATTCCTTCCCTCTCTTCACTCTCACCACCTTCTCCCTTCTCCCCCCCTCCCTCCCTTCTCACCACTCTCGCCTTCCTCCCTCTCCCTCATTCTCTTCACACCAACCTTGCTCGCGCCATCTCGGCTTCCATTCTTCCCACCAAGCTTCTCCCCTCGCTCCTTATTGACAATCTGCCCTTCTCCCCCATCCCCTCCTCCTCCCACCCAGCTCCCCTTCTCCCGCCTCCTCCTTCTCCGGCCAGCTTCTCCCCCCTCCACGCAACCTTCTCCTTCTCCATCAGCTCCTCCGTCACCACTCAACAGGCGCGTTTTAGATACCTTAAATCATACTCTCTGACAGAACCTTACAGCCATTCTCCCCTCCTCTTTCCGCGCGTTGCTTTCACCAGCCGGTCCTTCTGCATCCCCGTCCTTCTCCATCCCAATTCTCTATTGCACCTTCTCTTCTCTCCTCCCTCCAACTCATGTCCTAACCCCTTCTCCCCCTCCTTCTCCCCTTCTCCTCTCCATCCCCCGGAGCTTTCCGCGCCCATGTTCCTGTCGTGTCCATCCAACACACCAATCTTTATCGCATGCGTGAAACGGGCAAAACAGCGTGTGTGCGCGCGCGCGTGCGCGTGCGAGTCACCGTCCTCATGCCTCGTGCTTCTGCCCTCACTTCCTTCTCACCACCAGCTTATCCACTGTACTCCACTCCTTCGCGCCACCCAACCTTACGGCCTTCTCCCCCTCCTCCACTTCACTCACAGCCAACCTTCCTCGCATCTATCATCCACCCATCCACTCCTCTCCAGCCATCCCTTTCTCCCCCTCCTCCTCCACCAGCCGTCTCTTCTCCCCCATCAACATCTTCGCCCTTCCTCCTCTCACATCAGACCTTCTCCCCTCCTCCCTTCAGCCCACAATTCTCCGTTCCTCCCCTTCACCCCTTCCTGCCACCAGCATTCTCCCCCTCCTCTCTTCTCCACCAGCTCTCCCTGTCGTCGGCCCACTTCCCTACACATTCTCCACCAGCATTCGCCCCCTCCCCGTCAGCCACCCTTCTCCATTCTCGCCTCCTCCTCTCTACCCTTGCTCACCGCCTCACCTCACTTCTCACAACACAGATTCTCCTTCTCCCTTCCTCTTCTCTCACCAGCTTCTCCCCTCCTCCTCTCTCCACCAGCCTCCCTCTACCCTCCTACATTCCCACCCACCAGTTCTCCCCTAATTCCTCCTTACTCCACCACCTTCCTTCTCCCCCCTCCTCCTTCTCACACACCTTCTCCCTTCTCCCCTTCCTCATTCTCCACCCAGGCCTTACTCTCGCCCCTCACGCTCCTTTCCGCACACCACAACCACAGACTCTCTCACGACCTCGCCTTCCTTTCTCCACCGGACCTTCTCCCTTCTCCGCCTTACTCATTCTCACCAGCTTCTTCCACCAGCTTTCTCCCCTCCTCCTCCACCATCACAACACACCAGACGCACAACACCGGCGCGCCAATGAGCTTCTAACCACTTCTGACACTGAGACATGCGCGCACCTGATTTTGTATCGGACAGTACTGGCGGGCCCCCCGCCCAGCGGATCGTTGTTAACGACTTGGCTCGATTGGCCTAGCCAACGGGGACTTTAATGACAGACACTAAAATGATGTTAGCGTGACGAGACACTAACATCATTTTAGTGTCTATCATTAAAATCATCTTAGTGACTTTGACAATATTCCATGCCTATGATTGCCTGAGAAAAAATAAGTTGTATCTGATTGGTTGATTAATGACTATCTAAAGGTCTAGTAAATTACTAGATAGACATTAATCGAACTATATACTGTCTCACTGAACAAATAACCATTTATGTCCCACCCTCCCTGCCAATAGGACGTGACGTAGTATTATATAATATACTATATATATATATATATATTCTATGTGAAGTTTATCTCCGCCACAAAAACAAAACACTTCCTAAAAACAAAATCAAAACTTAAAATTCCATCAAACTATATTGTTGTAACCAGCATCAGATGGGTGTGGGGGGGGACTGTTACTGCTGCTGGCGGAGGTTCCCTATTCTCCGATTGCTCTCGTATTATGTTCGAGCGGATTACGCGATCGAGCGGAATTTTAACGATTCAATCGTTGGCGAGTTCTCGTAATCACATCCTTGTAGAATGACGCGGTTTCCATTGCTTCACAGTCTGTGCGTACGTGAGGTGGCGGGAATCGTTTATCGCTAGAAGTAGTGGGTCGCGAATCTGTAACATGGAGGGAAGCGCTGCCTAAAGCAAACCGGCAGTTAGATGCGAGTATGATATGAACTACTCAGGCCTTTAATTTAATTTAATTTTTTTTTTTTAGGGTTAGGTTAGGGGAGTTAGGTTTAGTGTTTAGTTAGGTTAGGCGTTAGGGTTAGGTATTTTTTTTTAAGTGCCTAGTAAGTCATATCCTAGTGCCTAGTAAAGTCCCATATCATATCCATCTTAACAGCCGGTGCGAGTTAAAGAGCTGCCGTTAGCGAGACAGTTAGCGGAAGCGGAAGTTTGTAGCGTTGATTATATACGACGTGTTTTTCATACTTGCGGCAGATGTCTCTTCTCTGGTCTGGCGGGCTCTGTAGAGGTCTATGGGCTGCGAATGCTTGCCGAGGCGCTGTATTCTATAAATTAAATCTGCGCCGGGTAAAATCTCTGATGGCCACATTGTTCAATTAATTTCTTCCCGTCGCTTTTATTTTCTCACAGTCTCCATTTTTATCGCGGGTAAATATTGCTCTTAGCTGATCATTTAATTAACTTTTTAGTCTTATTCACAAACACGCAATAAAATGTTATCTCCACGGATCGATTTCCCACGCAATTAAAATTTCCTCACGCGAATTCTGGAACGAAAACTCAGCTGCAATGGATCCCGTCCTCCACTCTAACAACGTACGCACGCACGCACTTGCTAGAAGGCCAAGAACGAAGTCCATCGACTATTTATAGTGAAGCAATGCTGACCTAATAGAACTTAGAGATACAGTTTTGGAAGTAGCAGCCCGTTCGATTCTCCCGGACCAGGAACATGCGAGCGGGATCGGCTAGCGTGGTTTTTTTAGGCTTTTTTTATAGGTTATATAGTGGAAATTGAAATTTTTGAGATCAGTACTGGCTGAGTTTTCACACTTATTTCCAAGAGTGGCAGATATCTATATGGACTTTTATCATTCTATATTCGTGTACGTCCTCTATGAGGCTGACCCCTTGTCCCTTGACCCTTGACCCTTGTCTCGATGGTCAGCTACAAACGTCGGCGCTCTCTATGTTAAGTATTGCGTCGGCTGCTGACGGTTTCGTCGCCATGGTGACCGCGTCACTAGCAGCCGAATATCGTCAGCGTGCATGCCGCGATCAACGTCGGTATCAAATTGAATCCATTTCGCGATTTCTTTGGTCACCTGCTTACACAGATCGCGATCGGCACATCACTGCTGATATTTCATCATGTCGTTTTCGCGTATCATGATCGTGCCCCGCACCCTTGAGTGGATTCCGCAGGAATGCCAACGATGATATGAAACAAGCATATATATCAGGAGTAGATAATAGGGGAATCCCTATTATCTACTCCTGATATATATGTGATGTATCTGGATGCGTGTATTCCTCAGTACAGGGGGCTTATTGTATCCACCGAACGAAGTTCGTGGGGATACTATGGGTTTGGCATCGTCGCGCCGCCGCCGCTCTCTGTTAATATAGGACAGTAGAAATACAACAGTAGAAAGAATATTAAATACGCATAAATCAAAAAAAACGACAATTTGTAGAGCAACTAAGGTGATACCTCAGATTGTCAAGCATACAATCAAAGCTATAATTGGAGAGCTGTTGACCGTGTGCTATGGAGGCCAGAAAGGACAATCGTAATTCTAGCCGCGAAAGAAGCGTACAAAAGCATAGGTGATTGGTTCAAGGGCAGTGGGTGGTGTATTCTTAGGGTTATGACTGCGAGCAGACCTACTCTCCAAGACTGTGTAACATACCAAGTTGGTCGCTCGGCTTGAGTCAAATTAGGGGCCGGGGAGTTATCAGAGCATGAATGTGAGCAAATATATTGCAATCAAGCATAGTAAAGGTGAAATATCACGGTAGCAGATCCTGCGGCTCTTGTATTCAATGGCATTTCTTTAGAACACGGTCTGGCGATCAATTGCAACGTCCGAGTACCTCATTCTTCAAATTTGGCAGAGGTGCGTTATGCTAAAGCGGGAAAATATTAACTGCACCAACGTTAAAAAATTTCGAGGAGTGTTGGCGAGTAGTCATCTCGCTGTGCCATGTATACAACTATTTTGCAAGTTCTCTGGTATCATTCGTGGGTTGAATGTCCGCGTTGTGCAATTGCTTCAACAAGTCTTGCGTATACGTGAGGTGGGGGACATTCGTTTTATCGTCGCTAGAGTAAGTCGGGAGTCCGCGAATTACTGTAAGCATGAGGAAAGGCGCTGCTAAGAGCAACCGGCAGTTAGATGCGATCAATGATAATGACTACTAGGCACATTAATTTAATTTAATATTTTTTTTTTTAGGGTTAGGGTTAGGGTGTAGGTTAAGTATTGGGTTTGGTAGGTTGGTGTTTAGGGTTATGGGAGGTATTTTTTTTAGTGCCTTAGTAAGCATACGGTCCTAAGTGCCTAGTACTCATATCATAATCGCATTCTAACAGCCGGGTGGCGTAAGGTTAGAAGAGCTGGGCCGTTATGCTAGAGATCAGTTAGTACTGAAGGCGGGAAGTGTTGTAGGCGTTGAATATATAAGCACGTTTTTTTCAGATACATTGTGCGCTGCAGATTGTCTCTTCTTCCGTGGTCCTCGGCGGCGCTCTGTAGAGGTCTATGGGGTGCGATAATGCTTGCCGAGCGCTCGTATTCTATAAATTAAATCTTAAATCTGCGGCCGGGTAAAGATCATTAGATCGGCCCACATTGTTGCAATTTAGATTTCTTTATACGCGCGGCGGTCGGCTTTTATTTCTCTCTCGACGAGTCTCCATTATTTATCCTGGTGGTAAATATTGCTCTTAGCTGATAATTTAATTAACTTATTTCGAGTGTGGGCCCTTATTCAAAACAGACAGCAATAAAATGTTATCTGCCAACGGGATCGATGTCGCCGACCAAATTAAATTTTCTCACTGACGCGAATGAAATTCTGGAAGCGAAAAAACAAGCTGCAAGATGGATCCCGTCACTCCACTCTAATTACAACGTACG